AAAAAAATGCCCTTCAAAGAAGCAATGGAATTTAATTATTTAACATAAAATACAACTATAAAATACAAATATAGTGTTACGAATTTGTTATTTAAAAAGCTAACTATTTAAATATATAACAAACCCTTCTATTTGGTTAAGTTTATTACACCATTATAAAGTCAATAAAACACGACAATAAAGAATAAAATTTAAGAAGAAAAGAAAACGATGAAACGCTGGGGGCACAGAGGGTAAAATAACGATAACAGATGTTCTAAACTACCACAATATTAGTTTCAGAGAGACGTTATTACATTAGTAAATACTCAACAGCCCTCACATCCCCCTTCCTCTCCAAAGAAAGAAAAAAGAACTACAGAAACAAATAGTATTAGGTGCAATTTTTTTTTTTTTTTTTTTTCCTCCCGTTCCAGAAATAATTCGCAAACAAACCTTTTAATAGAAAGGGGGAAAAGTTTCATTTTATACTTATTTATTTTTTGACGCTAGTTGGGAGTTTTTTAGTGTCAAAATATTTATAAATAAAGCAATTATTTATGAATTTATTAAACAAACACAAACAAGTAAAAGAAGCAGACATTTTTTTTGGTGGAGAATTTATTTCTTGCAAACTCAAAAACTATAACTGTTATGAATCTTAACAAGGTTCTGCTAGTGGAAAACTAGTTAACTGTCTTCGCGAATGCAATTAGTATAATGAGGCTACAAGTAATTACGTAATGGCTAAAGATTAAAGGCGACAAGACAAGAATCTAAACAAATATTTTCCCTAATTCCACGTTTTTGCTTGCGTTTCTTGAAGTACATCGGATGAAAGAATTTTCATTTTTTTCAGCCCAAAGGGCCTATTAATTTCGTTTTGGCATTTTACGTTGGTTCATTATAAACGACGTTTCGCTTTTCAAATTGTTGCCACCAAATATTAGAGCCCTGCATTATATTTTAAAGTAATTAAATAATGAAGAATCTGCATGAATGCACGAATGTTTCTCGTATTGTGATAAAACAACGGTACCTAGCGCCATAAAATTTTGAATAACTTTAGTCCTCCACCCGAATATGGGCATCAGGAAGCCCGAATTTTAAATTTCGAATGAGATTTATTAACTATTTCATATTTTTTAAAACTTTAAAGTATTTTTGACTAACAAACTCAACGATTTCAAAGCAAGAAATGGCAACACTGTACAGGGAAAAAAAAAAAAAAAAACAATGATTTCAAAGTAAGCAATGGCAGCACTGTACAGGGGGAAAAAAACATTTTTAACTCCAGGACACGAGAATGTTATTCGGAAATTTTAAAGATATACTGTTTTTAAATATTTTTGGACCAAAGGGACATTAGCCCAAATGCTGCCGTCAAAACGAGAACCTGTGTGTAAATTGGGGGGGGGGAGTCTCTTTGGGCGTAATATAAAATATGAAAGCCTTTCAGAAATTTTTTCTTTTTTCTCCTCCCCCCGCAAGTCAGTGCTAAACATAGAAGGTACTTTTGATCAATAGTAAACATTTTGTCTCAGCTTGTGATAAGTATATTTTTTATTTTAGTTGCTTTCCCACTTCGAAACGGGCAGAAAAAAAATTCTAGATTTTTGACAGCCTATCTGAGGCTTAACGCTGATTTTTTTTTAATTGCAGGTGAAAACAACATAACTGCAGGCGGGGGCTTATACATGCGGGAATACGTCAAAACCTGTTATTTTAAAATAATAAAAAAATTATGCCCCAAACAATGAATTTAACATCCACGCTTTGATATTTAAGTCTCGTGATAGCGAGATGATCCATTAGGCTCTCCAAGAACTCATAAAGTACTATGCTAATTCAAGCAAATCGCATGACATGAGATACAATACTCATGAGACAGACATGAGATACATTCTATCTCAAATGGAAGGGGAAAAAGCAATCATTTACAGGGAACATACAACGACACTCAGTTGAAGAATGTTGATAAGGATCGATCGAGTTACAAGTTAAAACCGTATTCCTCTGAAAGGTTGCTCAGCAACCACCAAATGGGAAATGCAAGACAAGAACAAAAGCGTGACACTGGACAGAACAGCATCTAGAGAAAGGTTGGGCCTGGAGGTAAAGCAGAATTAAGTAAAATATTACATTCTCTATTCGTATCCAGAACCGTACCCACGCAATTTACCTACTCACTCTGGAATTACCACAAGAAATGTAATATCTGTGACTTCTCAAAATATCCCAATCCATAATACCCCCAAAGGAATAGCCCAAGAATAAATAACAGGTGCCAAAATAGCCCTGACAAAATGGCTTTCACGAGTAAATAATATCGTTTAATAATACACGAGAATATTTACAGCATTTGCACAGCAAAAATTGATGTCTGATATTATTAAAAGAGAAAATAATTAATATTACGGATAAAGAAGTCATAGCGGTCCACGCGAGGTATAATAGGGTTGGCAAGGAAGTGATTTCGGTTTCTTAGTGTGTGAAATAAAACTCAATATTTTTCCACATAAAAATGAATTTAAATCAGTCAAATAACTTCCATGTTGTTCGATAACTTTTCGCTATATTTCTGGTAAATACATGATTCTGAGTTTCTAGAACTTCTGGTCTTTATCAGCAAAACACTCATCCAAGTGCGTTTTGAGATCATCGTTACAACTGGAATTTTTACCATTTGAGAAATTTTGTTATTATTAATTTACAGAATTATTAATATAGAGAAATTATTAACTTCTTAATTATAAATTACTTTACTATTTTAGTTATTATTAATTATTTTACTAGTTTACTTATTTATTAATTTTTTGACGGCGTTCCATTGGGCTTCTAATTTTAGAAATTAAGCCCTGCGTGTATGAAATATCCATGAGCACGTCATCAATGTTCTTCTCATGACCCATTTGAGAGAAAGGTGGCATAGTCCATTCAAGCAAACTGTCGACTGCCATCATCCACCTGTCTAAAAACTCATCGACCATTTCCGGAAAGAGCAGAATATGGTGGAAGTTCGTGCAAACAAGCTGCAGGTATTCGCAAACCCAGATGTAACTACTAACTAGGACTTAATGCCCAACTCTGAAACATAATGCAACTATGGGGGTCGTTCCATTAGCTCGTAACTTTCTTACTGGGCAGAAAGCACAGTTCGACCAAAAGAGTCGCACTCTGCGACATACAACTTACCGGCTCAAAGCCTTGCCGACCTAAGACCCTAATGGGGAGATGGCCTTCTCAACAAACCTCGCAAGATTTGGAGGTATATGAACAGACGTCAATGATGGCTGGCCCGTCACGCTGTCCACTCAGATAGCTGTTAACACGTTGAGAGCCACGTCAGCCATTTGTGGCTGACACTAGACTTTCCGTTTAGGCCGCGTCAGCCATCTGTGGCTGACACTAGACTTTCTGTTAAGGTCGCGTCAGCCATCTGTGGCTGACACTAGACTTTCTGTTTATGCCGCGTCAGCCATCTGTGGCTGACACTAGACTTTCCGTTTAGGCCGCGTCAGCCATCCGTGGCTGAGACTAGACTTTTCGTTTAGGCCGCGTTAGCCATCTGTGGCTGAGACTAGACTTTCCGTTTAGGCCGCGTCAGCCACCTGTGGCTGACACTAGACTTTCTGTTTAGGCCGCGTCAGCCATCTGTGGCTGACACTAGACTTTCTGTTCAGGCCGCATCAACCATCTGTGGCTGACACTAGACTTTCTGTTTAGGCCGCATCAGCCATCTGTGGCTGACACTAGACTTTCTGTTCAGGCCGCATCAGCCATCTGTGGCTGACACTAGACTTTCTGTTTAGGCCGCCATTTTCGGGTCATGCCATTCTCCAACAATCTCCTCCTCGTCGTCAGAAGATGATAAAAATACATCCTCTCTGGGCAGTTTTCTAGCAAGAATAATTTCACTGCTCCTATCGGTTTCACACTCTCGAACTGACATTTTGACGCTTAGGGTTAAAGAAACATTTTGTCTGCATGGGGCCAAGAACTGCAATGAACTGGTTTGTTGTAAAGGGAGCACCGCCACGAATCTATTTCGATAAAATGTTATCTAGTTGGCCGAATAAAACAAACAAAGAAAACAAAACAGATTTGGCGCATAACGTGTTGAATAAATGCCTATAGGAATCACGTTCCAAACGTAAACTATCTTCTACTGCTATAAAAATCACTGGCCCTAAGCGGCGCGCGTGGCCTGAACGGGATTGCCTAAGAAATACGTGCGGCGCTCAACGTGTTAAATAGGAACTTGGCTTGTGTTTTTATACCTCCGATGTCGAAGTTGCCTAAGTACAAATCTCAACCAGTACAATAAACGACACCCGGGGCAGAAAGCCCAGACGTAAACAAAACTAAATATATACAACTTAATCGACGCCTGGAAGAATTAGTGGAAAATAATGCGTACATGAAACATATAGACCTTCTCTGCAACATTATGTGACGTGCCACATGGAACATACACACATAACACATAATGCTGAAACGTAAATTTTATATATTCGATTTATTATTAGATCTTGTTGATTCACGACAACGCCCGGCCCCACACGGCAAATGTCACTCGTAAAGTTCTTGAATCTTTTAAGTGGGAGTTGTTTCCTCATCCGCCGTACAGTCCCGACCTGGCACCGAGCGACTTCCACCTATTCCCAGCAATGAAGAAGTGGCTGGCTATGCAGCGTTTTGATGACGACGCACAGCTGCAAGAAGAGGTAACGAAGTGGTTGAAGGCGCAGGCGGCCGAATTTTTCGACGAAGGAATTTCCAAGCTCGTACATCGCTACGATAAATGCCTTAATTTGTATGGTGACTATGTAGAAAAGTAGTATTTGAGTGTGGCTTTCATCTGTATATAATAAAATTTGTTTTCCTATACTTTGTTTATTTTTTTATTCCAAAACGTAATCTACTTTCTGGATAGCCCTCGTAATTTTTATTTAGTGGAATACAAAGAAAACGATTCACAACATTCGAAATGGTAGGAAGATTCGCAGAAAGGTTCTTACCTGTAAACACTTTTATCATAAAATACTTTAATTCTAAGAGGTTGTGATATACTTCTTTTTCGAACTATGTGGGGTGCCTCCAAATGGACGTGTTGAACCTGCAAGGGGAAAAAAATATATTAGTTAAGGGAAAAAAAGTGCTGGCAATATCTTGAAAATAACACTATGACGAAAGCAGTTTCTTTCATTCATATAAATGCATAAAATAAGTTTTCAAAAGAATTCAAATGTAAAAATACAGAATGGAATCACATACATGGCATTTTATTGCGCATTTCAATTAAACGTTAAAAAAAAAAAAAAAAAAAAAAAAGCAGAGGAACTGTCTGATTTTGAAATGGAGACTGACCCTACTCAAGAAAGCAGAGAAACTGTCTAACTTTGCAATGAAGAGTGACCCAACAGAAGAAAGCAGAGGAACTGTGTGATTTTGCAATGGAGAATGATCCAACTGATGAAAGCAGAGGACGTTTTATAATAGGCATTGAAAACTCTGCGCTCTTTACCGCGAAAATTTTAAAGAGTTGCGTCATTTATTGTTCCATACAAAAACCATTAGGTTAAAAAAGAAAGTTAAAAAATATTAAGCAGTATTAAAAATCCTTTCAATTAAGATTCAATTTACACTTTTTTTTAAAAAATAGGACAATATTTAATTTTGTTTAAATTGTACGTGCGTTCTTAAATCTAAACTATACCTAACTCGTTTTTTCATAGAATGTTAAATTTGCGGAATGTGATTTTGCTTAACGCGTACTGTATTAATGAAGGACCTCCCCCCCCCTCGTTCGGCAAGGGTTGTACCAAAGCAAAAAAACGTAAGGGGTGTCGATGAAGAAAATCATTTCTTTAAAAGGAGTTGATCCAAGGAATAGGTTGGTAATCCCTGATCTAGATCAGGCGTTTCCAAGAGAGTAGGTATATTTCCGCTGGGGGAAAGGGGGAGGGTCGATGGAATTTTAAAGAGGCTGTATGATGATCAAGAGGTCGATTGAGGGTCGATAGACGAATATGACAACCCAATGGATCGGCACAGTAAAATCTTACTGATTTCAAACAATTTAATAACAAAATTGGTAATTTATTGTTTATTGGTATAGATGATGATGTTATAGATGATGGCGACTTTGATTATGGTTATAGATGATGGCGACTTTGATTATGGTTATAGATGATGTTTATAGATGATATGGTTATAGATGATTATGGTTATAGATGATGTTTGATGTTATAGATGATGGCGACTTTGATGATGGCGACGATGATGATGTTATAGATGATGGCGACTATATCATTTAGTATGGAAGAAACTATGGAAAATAAATATAAAGAAAACAACAAACAAGAACTATTTACAATATTTTAAACATTTTTAAGGATAAGTGCAGTATACAAAAGTAAAAGCCAGAAACACAAGAAAACTGAATTGGAAAAAAAAAAAAAAAAATACGAAGAAAGCAAAACTAAAGCATCACAGCAAAATCTGCGCCTATTCGTTCAGCCATGCCGACCGTTGAAACTTGTTAGCTGGAGTTACGCTCAGCAGAGAGGGTTTTCAGCGGCCAGGGACAACTGAAGATTTCGCGTCCCCTACTGCTTGCCAAGGATGGGATGGAAAACATTTAATTCTAAAATGTCTAAACATCAGTTTGGCGCCCCTTTGGATTCTGCGCCCGGGGACAGATGCCCCCCTCTAGCTACTCCCCTGACGCTCAGATGGAAATTACGTCACCAATATGGAAGCATATGCATGACATTTGAACAGAAAACTACAAGCTAAATAATCGCAGTTTTCTTGTCCGCCATTATGTTGTATGCTTTATATCACAGGGAGAAATGTAAGGGTTTTATATTAAGACAACTATTTTTTTGCGAGGGGTCTATGGAAGAAAAAGGTTGGCAATTCCTGCTGTAAATGGAGCAGAGAAGCTGCGAAAAGGGCAAAATATCGCACCACGCCCAAGGCATTATTTGCTGCCTTCTCTTTCTAGTTGCTGGTGATTGATGTTACGGGCAGATCAGACGCCCTACTGCCAATTCGGACGCCAGAGGTGCTAAACTGACCATACGGTGGGGGCTGACCGAGCACGCATTACGGGTCATGCTTTGATGATGACACGCAAGGAAGAGGCCTGAATTATGCACGGAAATATCTGACGGCACCAATGGGCAAAAAAAAAAAAAAAAAAAAAAAAAGAATCAAAGCGGTGTTTTTGAATAAAATATCAAAGACAGGACGGGCACTTCCTTTCAAAGAGGTTGATTGAAGAATTAATTCTCTTTGTAGATGATAAAGACATCTAGATGAGAAAGGCCTTTTTGTAATGAAATTTATACAACATCAATCATACTGAGGGATATTAATTAGGGGTTTTACGGCAGTGATCTCAAACTGGCCGAATGCAGGTTCCGAACAATTTTAACATGGCTCACAAAAATATTTTTCATAAATTAAGTTTAAGACAAATTAATTCAATAAGGTTTAAGATTTTAATTATTTGGAGTCCAATTTTAATTATATTCATTACTAAAAAATCTGATGTGTACACCACATGACTTCCTTGTATTGGAATATTAAATTATACGCATTTTTTTTCCATTTCATTTAAACTTATTGGATTGAATTAAATCTACTTTGCCGACAGCGCATAAACCACAATAGAATAAATGCATTCTTTAAAATTCACTCTAGTACTTGTTTACGATAGCGACACTCTGGCGCTAGATTCACTTAACAGTATTAATAATTATATAACAGTTAACTTATATAATAATTTTATAACGGAAACTAAGTTAACTGTTATATAATCCAATAATTATATAACAGTTAACTCATATATTTCGTTCATATTATAACTCATAATGCACAAAATTTATATCATTTAAAGAATAGAATTATCTAATCGTTGCCACATGTTCTATTCAAATACTATAATAAAGCTAGAATGATGTATAAAAGAAAAGAAATTAAGCAAAAAAAAAAAAAAGAAAAACAATTTTTCACAGACGATTGAGTATTTCTCATTTAATTAATTCAGTTCTCACTTCGCGAGAAGGCAAAAATACATAAAAACTCAAAATATCTATATTAAAAATTACGAAGTAAATCTTAAACGCTTATTTCCTCGAAAAAATTCCAGAAAGGATTAAGCATGATTTAAATAATAAATGAAGGCGTTATCTTTGTTGTTGCGAAGCTAAGTTTCTCTAGATTGGCAACAAATCCACTAGTCTCCTGTTTCAAATGTAAACATCAATGGCCGCCATTAAAAAAGGCTTAGCGGCAATTAAACAACTTTAAAATTGCTGATAATTCTAAAAATATTGCACACAGATTTACTAAAGGCATAAAATCCTTAACCGGAAGATAAAAACAACATAATTCAATCTTTTTAAAGCAAAAAAATGTACAATTTACAAACATATAAGAGTAAAGAAACTGAGATCACTGAGCAGAGTGGATATATATATAAATATATTTATATACGTTTGGTGCGGCCGATTGCAACCAAAATACGAGGTGCACATCTACATGTTATAGCAGTCCTATATACAAAATTTCAACGTTCTGAGGCTACTCGTTTTTGAGTTATGCGAGATACGTACGTACGTACACATACGTTCGTACAGACGCCACGAAAAATTCTCTTCAGAATTAATTTTAAAGCAGTTTTATAATTTTTTTGAAGGAAAAGAGTATTTTATTCTGTCCTTACGTACAGATATCACGCAAAAACATCGTTAAATTGCATTCGATAGCGGTCAAAATGGATATTTTCGTTGAAATATGCTGCCTGAAACTTTTCGCGATTACAATACTTCCTTTTTACTTCGTACAAGGAAGTAAAAACGAACGTTAGTAAAACCTCAGAAAATCCACAAATAGAGCTAATTAATATACACTGTGATATAAATCAGCGGTTTAAAAGTTAAATTGCTTGTGGACCGAATGCATGATGAAAGCAGCTGTTTTTTTAAACAAAATGAAAAATATATTTTAAATAAACTTTAAATTTCGCTTACTAAATATTTATCAAAACATACAAATACAGCAAGAGTAACAACGCGAAGGAAAAAATTCAAATTTATATTTATTTTCTATCTGAATTGTAAAATTCGGCACCTCGAAACATTTATGTGGGTTACACATTTGCAAACACGCTGCAAAACACTTTTTATTGGTTATGCTTTATAATTGAAATATACTGACAGCTAAATATTAAATTCTTACACTCACATTTCTTTCAAATAATTCTACAATGTTTAGTTAATAATTAACGTACTTTAATTTTAATTAAAAACAAACAAATTATGAAAACCTTGTAAATTTTCAGAGAAAATTTACAAAATGGGACGATATTTTGTAAATTTTCTCTGAGAATAAATAATAACCATTTAGTCTCTTATTTATTAAATTAAGAAATTAAGAATTAATAATGACCATTTAGTCTCTTTCTTTTTTATTTATTAAATTTTCTTCGATGCATTAATAATTTTATTTCTTATTACAGGTGCTTCAATTCTGATAAAGTTACGAACATATTGAATAAAAAATAGATTAAATAATAGCTATTAAATAAAAGATAAATTGAAGAAAAATTTTGTAGATAATTTTTTCTTGAGATAAAAATGTCCTCCCCATACAGTGTTGCCATTGCTCGCTTTGAAATCGTTGAGATTATTAATCAAAAATTCGTCAAAGTTTTACAAAATATGAAATACACAATAAAACAAGTTCGAAATTCAAAATTCGAGCCTCCAGAGGTGTCTATATTCGGATCGTCATTTTTTTGCATTTGAATTTCTTAGTAGAACAGAGAATTAAATCAGTTGGTTACCAACTTCAGTGTCTTTTTGCCGAGTGGGGCCAAACGTTGCACCAAAAAATCTGACTTCCGGCCCGCCGACCTAACTGTTTGTTTTTGCGTGGAAACTCTCTTTTAACTGTAAAAATTGGTTTTCGAATTCATTTTATACGCATTTGGGGTTTTATGTTCTATATTTGAGAATTTATAATGAAGATGCTTGAGTTTTTATGTATTTTTGCCTTGCCCCGATATGAGAATTGAATTAATTGAATGAGAAATATACCTATAAT